TAGATTTTGAAATTATATATAATTTATTATTAATTTTCGTGGAAACGAATAAATAAATGTGAAAATATATACAGTATTGGATCATTTGGGTGAAGTAGCAGTTGTGTGAACTAACCATTTGTATGAACTAAACCCTGAAACCAAAACCCGCACTGCATAGACATAATGTTAAAATAGTACCATTTGTGTGAACGTCACCTGTGTGAACGGATCATTTGTGTGAACAATTTGGTGCTATTATTATACAACATTCAATGCATTTTAAGATCAGTTGTGTAAACCATATATTTTTGCCATTTGAATGACAACTCATTTAATGAACAATTGAATGAAATAATAACACAATTGTTTAAAACTTCATTTAAATCATTAAAACAACAGAAAATTACAGACTATTTTTCATATAACAATTAAAATGTGTAATTTTGAATATTAATGGAAAAATAAGTGTTTTTAATCATATTTTTAGCATGATCATTTGTATGAATGGATCATTTGTGTGAACCAAATGCTAAAACCCAATCACTTCACCCAAATGATCTTTTACTGTAATTTTAAATAAGTATCACTCGATTGTTAAGTGAATAAAAATGCACTTAAATTTCGTATTGATTTTCTCGTCGGACTCTATATAAACACTAAATTGAAAATCAAAATTAATATCAAACATCTCAAGTGTTTTATCATATAATAAAACTTCTATACAAATACTCGAAATAATGGTTTATTTTATTAAATACTTATATTAATATTACTTTTGGTAGTAAAGCCTTTTCGATAGTGATTTGATGGCAGTGTCGGGACATTAATAATGAAAATATTCAATGAATTTCTTATATAAAAATCAAATAATCTGTTGTGAAGACAAGCGTTAATAATAGACAACGAAAAAGTGTTGTATTCAATGAGAATCATGTGAAGAGATTTGAGTGGAAAATATCATTTGATAACTAATTTAATGCCAAAAAATACTTATTTTAAAAACAATTCAAACAAAATCATAAATTGCATACAATTTTCTATAAAGCATTTTCTCAAATGTATTGCCATTTTCGCTAAACACCCGTTATATTAGCAAATAGTGTGGAAATGTTATATAAAAATCAAATTTCAATTCATGCACTTTTGAAAGCAATATAAAAGTTAATATAAAATGAAAAATTTTCTAAAACAAAACCAACAGAAATATAGTGTCAATTGAATGAAACACTCTTTGGATTAAATGGTAAAAACATTTCGGCTTTAAATTTCTTATTCAAAAGTGAGATAAAATATATTTCCTAAAGTAAAATACAAAACATCAAAAATAAAAGTTTTAAAAGTGTTTTAAAAGTGTTTTAACGACAATTTTATAGTCAGAATCAGAAAAACGCTTTCAATTCATTCAATAAAAAGCATTTATTATTAAAATATATTTTGATTACAAAACGTGTGATTAAAATAAAGCGACAAAAATTGTGTCAAATATTGATTGTATCCTAAAAACCAAACAATAAATGAATAATTAGACACAAAAACATAGTTTAATATAAAACTAATAAATGAAATATACATTTCTATTTCACTAACAATATACTACGGGTGCCACTAATCAAACACTAGTTAAAAGTTTTAACTAAACATTAAAATGTAAATCAAAGCCATTTCATAATAGCATTGCTGTATAAACCCATTGAAAGACACACTAAAAAAAATTGTGAGACAAATAAAAAGGGAAATAAAAATACATTTTATATGAAAAGTCAATACAGAAAACACACAATTTCTATGGCATTTAAAATCATATGTTTTGATGTGAGTGTATGTCTAGTACTGTACGTGACATTTAAATGGTATGACATGTTATATAATAATAATTGCGGTATAAATTGGTGTATAATTGGGTGAAATGGTTGGCGTATATATAGATATAGAGCTCATAATGGGTTTGAATGGTACGAAAGGTTAGATTGAATTGTAATGATTGCGAAAACGGTCGCAGACTTACCGGTAAAGTGTGTGCCAGCGATAGGTGTCAGCGATTGTGATGCGAGTCATGCGCTCAACGCATACAACACACAGCCTATGACTTAACGGTATGTCTACAATACAACTGCTCTACACTGGTATACAGTATACACTTTATTTGTATGTATATATGGTATCATAGAATGTATATATGCTGTATATATACTGCCATATTATATATGATATGCTATGATATGTGATGTGAAGCGATGAGCGGGCGATGAGATACGGGTCACCAGCTTTAGGGTCCCAAAACACGGCACATCACTGACCACTCTTAGGCCACCCAATAGTCGATCGACCCATCGATTCAATGCATTAGTAGTCCTCTCTGTATATACGGTGTATATGTTTAGCAAATCTATTCAAACATATGATCAAAATGTGTTGTTTTGAAGCATTTTTTGTCAATGCGTTTACACAACACATAACACATTGAATGCATAGGACTCGCAGTTCACATATGATGTGACAATGTTTGCAGTGAGTGTGGGGTTGGGGTCAGACCCTCGACAACACTAACCCCCAGACACTTGTCTAACACATTTAGGGCTATGTTTTGTGGTTTTGACACTTGAAACAAGTCTAGTCTCTCCCATACCTGTGCTCTGATTATTATTCAGTTTATAATAATTTGCATTTTCATAATCGCTGTACATATGTATGGCATAAAGCGCTCATAATTATGATGTAATTGTGATTAAATTGTGCGTCCCTTTCATTGAAAGTAGTTTTTGATTTTCAAATCTAGACTTTAGACTCAATTATAGAGTATATATGTGTAAGACGTGAGGATTAATGATATATTTCTAACGGTGTATATAATGGCACAGAATATACAGAACACTGTATTTATATAATCGGTTGAATAAGTTTGGGATCACAGGAATTGATGTGAGAAATTGGAGTTGTATTTCCACTACCAGTATATGTCTCTACTATAGCGACGCTCAACGCTTTGCCAACAAAATACACTACAAATGCTATTTATTCATTAAATTTGAAACTTGTTTTATAATGGTTAATGTATTATCTAGGAATAAAATGATCTGGCACTATATTCAATGCATTACATGGTTGTCTCATAGGAAATATATGCATTACACTTTTCTATCATAAGAATATTCTTTATTTGTATAGATTTTGATAAATGCGAAAAACATTTCTTGGAATTAAGTTTATGTTTTTACGAGATATTAGAAAATGAAAAGCAATTAAATTGCTTTCTAATCTATTTATCAAAATCATTGTCTATTGTATTGAAGTGCTGTTAAGTCTTGCAGACAATTTCACCATGGAATTAAGTTTATGTTTTTACGAGATATTAGAAAATGAAAAGCAATTAAATTGCTTTCTAATCTATTTATCAAAATCATTGTCTATTGTATTGAAGTGCTGTTAAGTCTTGCAGACAATTTCACCGCTAATGCATCCAAAAGTTTAATAGTAGTAAAAATAATATACTGTATAAGAGTTGTTATTATGAGAAAACTACTTACTGGAACATTTTGAACGAATACACTTTTACCTTAATGTACTTAAAATAGTCGCTTACCTGCTTTTATCTGTCAAATATGTTCAGACATTATGTGATGGATTGCCATCAGAATCGGATTCATCACATGTGGCTGTTGTATACTTAGCGACGCTTTCGGTAAGGGTTGTCATGCTGTTCTCTATATAGTGATTGTGATGCCTACGATATCAGTACTTAAGTATTCGGTAAACTTATAGTGAAAGTATTCGCTAACAAAGAGTTTTTGTTTTGATGACATTTCCGCCCGATGTTTGCCCAACGAAGTCAAACATTGTCTCACAAACACCACTAAAACAATTGATTTGAACCGATTCTATGCGAGTCTTGTGTCTCAACTGATTTCCCGGCCATTAGAATACAATAACTTTCTTAACAATTATTATTAATAATTAATGAAAACAAAACTTATTTTTATTGTACAGTAATAATATATGGCTTTACACTAAATTAGCGTAATCTAAAGGAGAGTGCTTAGAAAAGTTACCATAATTTTCTTTATTTGGTTATTTTTTCTTTAGATACAGATCTTATTCACTCACAAAAAAAGTATTACATAAGTATTACTTCTCGTGGAGAAGATATAAATGGCAAATATAATAATTCCAGTAATACTTATCATTAATTTCTTGACGTAAATCCACGTAAATATAATTTAATTTATTCTTATATTATTGCAAAGTTTGTAATATTTTAAATAATTAATTGATATTTAGATTCAAAAATATGTTATAAAATTAATAAAAAATATAAATACTGTATTTACATTACGAATAAAATTACATTAATACACTTAAATATAAGTTTGAAATACAATTTTGTTCCAATTATCTAACTTTGTACTATATCATTTTATGCACTTATCCTGGTCCTATTCTGGTCATTACGAGTGCACTTTTTGGGTAACAATTAATGTGATATTCAATATATCGATGCAATAATTATATAAAAAGCCAATATTATCAAATAAACTATACAAAAATTAATATTCAGTATAAGTTTACGAGCAAATAAATCCTATTTTTAATCAACAAATGTTTATATCATATTTGAAGCATTCTTGTATTAATAATTAATTAATCAATTATTGATAAAATAGATAAATCTGTTATATATTTATTATATATACATTACGCGCCCTCCCTTCCCTTGTAATGTTACCCCTTTGAATTTATAACAATTAATCTATCTACACAATTGCGATAATAACAAGTGTATGTTGGAAAATTCATGACAATACTGTACATATCATGAGTGACACTTAAACTGAATATATGGTATTATTACAGTGCATGTGATTGTACCTATTAATTGTATTAATGCAGCTGTGAGAGGCAAACATTTGTCATTTATCTTGGTCCATTTATTCACTTATAGATATGGTTTAAGAGGTAAACAATATAACTTTTAACTCTAGAATTATTATTAGATAAGGGATTAGCGATTGAAGAATAATTTAAAAACACATCACTTAATACCCAGTTGTGTTAGTCTTAATTAAAGCCCTTGTGGTTTAAGATCTCAATAATAGTTGAATATTGAAATGAAATTATTATTGTTATTATTCGCTTTGATTGGCATCACTTATGGTATATAATATTTTTAACAATATGTTGTATTATTTTGTATTAATTATAATTAAATGTTGATGAGTTTACGTTTAAGTTTAAGTTTAAGAAATATAAGTTTGTTCAATAAATCAAATTAATAATGTTTTAATTAGTAGTACAGAATAATTCAAATAATACTTTTGGTGCAATGCATTGCAATGCAATTGCTTTAAATTACTTAACAGTATTTTGATTTATTAAATCTGAAATCAATTCATGTAAAACATAAATACTTGCATATTATAGCCGGGAGTCCGTGTGAGGGACGGGACTACCAAAGAGGTAGTATAGCGTGTGTGGCCACTGAACAGCACAATGACGAGTACGACACCGTCCAGAAGAGCCCCAAAGGTGTGGTACAGGTCTTCACGACTACTAAGTCAGGCAAACGTCTGGCGAAGACCGAGAAATTCACCTTGCTTCCTCTATAAGGAAGCCCGATATTCACCTTATAGTTTCAGCTGGTGAGCTTCTCAATAGTCAGGTAGTAACCGAAGCCATGGCGTGACAGGCTGCGCCGGCAGGATAGGTAGCCGTAAATGTCGCCCAAAATTCAGAGACAAATTATGTCCGACTTTTTCTCCGATAAGGGAATTGAGCTCTCAATGGCCAGAACCACAATCGCCGGCAGCGACTTCTCGACCCGTCAATACACTTACGACGATCACGACTGGGATTGGGATTTAAAACAATGGAGTTTAGTAGAAGAAGACACCAAATACAGGGTCAGTTTTATTTGCAATTTATAAATCTGTCTGTTTATTAACTTTTCAATACTTCAACAGATCCCGCAAATGAAGATCGCGTCGGAAGTGGCCAAACATAAGCCAATCAAATACTTTGGTTCGCCGTGGAGTGGCCCGGCGTGGCTCAAGACTAATCATAAGATTACTGGAAAGGGACAACTGTTAGAAAAGGCCGGCTCTAAGCCGTGGGAGACGTACGCCAATTATATTGTTAAGTAAGTGATTATCATCTAATTTTACGAAACACTAGATCAATTGAGTGATTTATTTGATATTCAGATGGCTGTCCGCATACAAAGAACACGGGGTCGAGTTCTGGGGTATGACTGTCCAGAATGAGCCCATGACTGGAATGCAGGTGCCGTACAAACAAACCGACTTTATATTTAATAGAAATACATTTGTATAATTGTTTTTTTGTTGCTCTGAATATCAGGAGAACTTCCCGTGGAATACAATGGGATTCACCGCTGAAATGGAGAGAGACTTTTTGAAAACAGATTTGGGACCGGCGTTGGAGAGGGCGGGATGGGGTCCCGACAAGTTTAACGTTATGATTCTGGACCACAACCGAGATTTATTGCCCCAATGGGCTGATGTAGTGTTGGGCGATTCGGGTGCCGCCAAATATGCCAAAGGGGTTGCCGTTCACTGGTATGGCAATGGAGCGGCCGGTCCCGAGCGATACGACCAGGTCCACAACAATCACCCCAACCATTTTATGTTTGTACTTAAATTATACAATACATGTAAATTTACTTATGTCTAAATTATGCACAGATTAGCGACTGAAGCGTGTAATGGATGGCAAGACGCCGACTGGTGAGACATATTCTCGTCATAAATATTAACTGTTTTTATAAATATTATTTAATTGAAGGTCTATTTCTTTGGGCCGATGGGACTTCGGCGAGAGCTATGCTCACGACATTATCAGAGGTACGGCTATTATGTTTTAATTTGGATGAACAATATTACTTGAAATACAATTGATTGCAATAATATGCAGATTTAACGCATTGGGTCTCGGGTTGGAACGACTGGAATGCGGTCTTAGACATGACAGGAGGTAATGAAGGGATCAGTTAACGGAACTTACAATTAAACCAATGTTTGCACCATTAGGTCCGATATGGGTTGGAAAGGGTCACTACGAGTCGGCGCCCATAATCGTGGACCCGGCGAAAGGGGAGTACTTCAAGAACCCGATGTTTTTCGGAAACCGGGTGAAGAGGTTTAAGGAAGGCGGGCCTTCATTTGCGTAACCATAATGTGGTCTCCAACACCTGTTGCCCTTGGATGTCAGCCGGCGAAAGCAGTCTGGACTGCCGCCTTAACATGTGTACGTTATCAATTCATGGCCCGATCAGAACGCCTATATCCTGACGGACCCTGAGTTTGGTGAACTGCGAATGCCTGTTGAGGCACATTCTTTCAATACTTGGGTCTATTATAATTAAATGTACCATATTTTTGATAATTATCTTAAATAAAATATTTTGGAAATACTAAATAAGTGATTAAGAATTTCTATAGTTGTTATATTAGATAGCATACATTCGATGTAATTATGAGAGTATACTCAACAATTATAATTATTATGTAAATTATATCTAAATATTCGATGGGTTATAAATATCACAAAATTTCTGATAATGGCATAAATTTAATTACATAATTAATACAGCAATAATATTTTAATAGATTATGGTCCTCAAGCTTAATAATAGTTAAGTGCATTTTCTAATCATAACAATTTAATGAAATGTACTGTAAGCAGAGTGCAGTTTATCTACAAAACTTTACAGAATTATGAAATGAAATAAAATGAGACAATTTGGCAATATTTGGAGAAAGGGAGACAAAAACCAAACCTTTCAAATTGAATGCAATCTCATTAAATTGTGCCAAAATTGACACATACATGTATTATCATTAATATCAATTAGACTGTTAATGAATTAAAAGTACATTTCCAGTACTGAATTGACCATCAATCAATTATTGCATTATATTTGGGTAAACCCTCTTAACACTTGTGTACAAAATAATCACTTCAAAAAACAACATTCAGATTAAGCGAGACATGTTATGAGGCAATGAATATAAAGACAATCACTTTCTTTTAAAATTGGCTAAACTTTTGCCAAATTTTTAAGTAAGTAATGCAATGCACTCATGTTTTTATCAATAGTCTGATATTTGTTTATAAACATATTTGGCATTTATATCATATTTATTAGATTATAACAAATTATTTAATTCATTACACGTGTAGTCCCTGTACTTCGTGTCAATTATTTTGGCGATAATTTTGACGAATTATCCCTAAATATACTTTGTTGTTATTACAATTAATATATTCTGAATTCTAAGACAAATAATATTAAATAATTTAATTATCTATTAATTTTGATTTTATTGTTTTATATTACACGTTTTAAAAATGACAATATAAAATATAACATTATAAATATAATACGGATACAATGTTAAAGCAATTATTGCATAAAACAATTTAATAAATTAATATATTTTAATCTAATGCAACGCTATTTTCGTTAATATCTAGCGTTTGCTTTTTATATATAACGTTAAGTGATTTGATAATAAAATATAACATTAAAATATAACTTAAAACACTTACTGCTATTAAACATGAATTAAAATACACTAAAATCATGGGTTCGGTCTCAATGTAAGCCCCGATTAATATGGGAGTCGCGGCCGACATGACTCCCACCGTAAATATTAATACCGAACCAATTTGTTCTGTAATCACAATATATTGATCGATGAACGATAGCATTAGGGCCCACATCGCCGACAGTCCTAAGCCTGTAATAACAATTCAAATCTTAAGTTTATATACACTTAAATGATAAGCCATAATATATTATATAAAGTTTATAAAGTTTACCAAATAATATATTTCCAATGAATATTAACAATAATGAGTTTTGCGAAAACAATAGTATGATAAGAGCGATCAATATTATGCAATAGTGATATGTAATCATTGTTTCGGGCTTTAATCGGATGGCAATGAATATAGAGATACCGCGACCTAACGTGAAACAGGAGGCCATCAGCGATAAGATAAGCGCCGCTTTTGGCGCACAGAGTTTTAATGGTATGTATTGGTTGAAAGTGGCGGAGAACTGAAAGTGACAGTTCTCTACGACAGTGAATGAGGCAAAACATATGGCACACAATGTGATGATTGTCTTGACCGGCGCTCCGCTATCTGTTCCTAGTTTTACCCGATTGTCGGCCGAGTCTGTGGTCTCCTTCTCCACGTCTTTTGTATCGATGTCTATATTGTAGTCAATTGGTTCCGGTTTCTCGTACTTCTTAATCAAATACATTATTAGCATGAATATAGCGCCCAATAGTTGTGTACTGCCAATAATGGCAAACGGTGTGCCCAGCGATGGGTGCACTTCAACGGTTCCCTTCAGGTTGTCCTGAGTGTCGCCCACGATATATGGCTTATCGATGAGTGGGCCGACAATACTGCCCAATCCAAACGCAAACTGCGAGAGTTGAAGTATGGGTGCGCTCTTGTGTCGCCACATCTCAATGATCCACACGTTGTAAGTGCTATCCCAAGAGCCGCCGCCGATACCAATGACAAACCCGCACGCGTACAACACATACAGCGACGCCCGCGGTATGAATATCAATGATATGCCTAATAGTATTAACAACAATATTGTCCTAATCTGACGGTTAATTTTCTTGTACACAAATCCACCTTAAATTCAGAAATCAATTCATTTTTATAGTTTTGTTTCGAGGGTTTTGTGAATAATATCTTAAAAATTTAAAGCGAAAAATCACAATAAGAATCACTTCTTAATTGTTTAATTAGTAAAAAACACTTACAAAGACTTCCAATGATATATCCGATAGAATTGACTGAATTATAATAAAACACAACTTTCACGTCCTTTTGTTTGAACAGATTCTTGAGGTCCACAAGACATGGACCGACTGATGTACAGGTGATGCCAAACGCAAACTGAATATAACACATGATAATAGTGTATAATATTTTATCCCAATTCTGTCTGATATTTGCGTTACAAAACATCCGTTCAATTCTACCCATTATTGTATGAAAAATTGTTTTAATAAATATTTAAATTGAATGTCAATTTGAAGCACAAATCAACTGCTAATCAGAAAATATGTTTTTCCTCGCATTGAATAAAAAAGTAAGAAAAAATAAAACTTATTGAATGTATTGATAATAACTACTGAACGAGTGAGAAATGGTTGAGAAAATATGCTTATATCACATTTACGGTGCATTTTTATCTGTTTATAAATGTTTCAAAAGTGTTAGTCTTTTTTTAAATATACTGTAAATTGAAGAGCATTTTCCTCACAAACAATAACTGGTCTTTTGTTTGATTATAGTATAGTTGGAAATCACGATTAATTACTACATGTGATTGAAATTACAGGTAAATAAGTGTCGAAATCATTGTTTGATTGCAGTTTCTAAGTAAACAAATTGTGTGATAATTACAATGATTTGATTCAAATTAATTATGACTACTCTTCTCATTAAAATTCTAAATACAATCCTTTAAGAATTGGATTTATTAATCAAATAAAAATATTATATACGCAAACAAATTGTATGTTAATATTTGGTCATTTGCCTACAGTACAGTATATTTATGGACTAGAATATTTTGAACTTATCAATAGCCTGAATTAATTACAATTTATGTAATTAAGACATTTGAAACTAAATATACAGTTAAAAATTATTAACAATAATAAAATGCATCATGGCTAAAATTTTAATTAATTAAGAATTAACAAATAAATTAGAATAATAATATTTATGCCGATCATCCTACGCTATGCAAAGATATTCTGAAACACCATGATGATAATGTGCAATACATATTAATTACTACATGCGTAAAACACATGGTAATGTTACATTACTAATATAACCATGAATACGGAGTAATTGGAGGTTATGTTGTGATCAGTAATCAGTTGTTGATCGCATAGGAATGCATTGAAATATATAAACTTATAATTGAAACACTTATGAACTCTGGATTGAAGTGTGTTTTTATCACAGAATTGCATTACAATTAAGCCAATAAAATGGATTCATTTATCATTAATAAAAAATATTAGTAATATTTTAAATATTTACTTGTGCTTTATTTGTTGCTTTAACTTTAATTTAGTTTTTATTTTACACTCAAAATTCAGGTTTTTGACTTAAAATCATTTACTATCTCTTAAACCCGTCAGTGATTAGTGTTTTCTACATCCTATTGTACAGAATGTATAGAATAAATGAATGTATTGCAAAAAACACTAACTACTAACGGATAGTGCTAACAATTGGCGATATACTGTATGTTGTCATGTTCATTCCAATAGCCAGGGTTGCAACTTTGCATACAGTATTTATGAATAGCAATCATGTGAATAGTTGACCAAGAATAATTTAAGGCATTCTAATTTTACTTATGAGTCATGAAATGTAACCATATTTGATTATAAAAAACAAGCTTTTGATGTATAAAGTACAATGATCAATTTACACAATTGTACGCCAATTTAGCACCCGTTGAGCTCACAAGTTATGTTATTAATATTGTGAATAACATTTTGATAACACAGTTACAGAGTAAGTAACAGTGCCGTGCATTGGTTAGATAAACGGCCTATTGTTGGCATACCTGTGCTAACAAGTGTATACTTATGAGAGCATTCAATAAAACAGTTATAGACTTTTATAGCTTTATGTGAACCCACCTTTAGGTCGTTTCAATGTGTAGTATTGCGAAACATTACAAAGTGAAAGCTTATCGCAAGAACTTTATTAAAAATTAAGATTACTAAAGTGTGTAAATTATATAAAACAAATTATAATTCTACATTATTTGTATAATTAATAATTTTTTAAAAGTGGAACCCACTTATGTAAAGCTTCTAGTTAAGTAACTTAAACTATACTATCACATTTAGCATGTTTAATTAATAAAATAAAACAAAAATATTTTTGCCAATAACCCTAGTAAAGTTAGCTACATAATTAAAAGTAGCTAATTAAGTTTAACAAATCTGGCGCTTATAATATTGTAAAAACCCATGAATACATTTATGACTTAAAACTTTTTAACGTAGGAATTGTGATTTGGGTGACAATTGGGTCCACTTTGATGTTCACTTTATTCTTAAAATGTGTGTACAGTATATGTGTAATTGTCGGCTGTGTTTGTGTTTAACATTCTACCAGTTTATAATATTTTAAAATTTTAATAAATTAATTCCACAAATAATTTAAATATAAATGCTAGGTAATATTTTATTAAAACTTTCCATAACATTAATTGCTAATCATTTTCTTAAGAAAATAATAACATTGAATAAAATGAACACAAAAGAAATAAAGAAAGCAATGATTAGATTTATATAAATAAGAGCCAATGGCTGTCCGGCAATGAATTGTCCGCAAACGACGGGAAATACAGCCGAAGATATACCGGTGGCGCTCATTAGCAGAGCTGTGGTTGTGTTACTGAGTTTGACGTGAGTCCCAAAGAAGGCATATATACAGGGATAACCCGTTGAGAATCCGATTCCCATAATTACTATTCCCGCAGTCATTAGTCTTTCTGAGGATTCGTAATATTGATATACAAATAGCATTATATTTGAGATAAATATGAGAACTAAATTGACATAAATGTAGTTTTTGGACCAATATTTGATAGAAACAATAAAATTAATAAAACGAAATATTGCAAAAGAACCGGTCAATAGACCTAACATAAGGGAACTCTCGGACGCAGACATTTGTTGATAAGAATCGGATAGAAATGTTGGGATGAGTTGAAAGTTCATGAGCTCCAGACCGGCGTACGGCCCGACGATTAGCATTCCGAGTAAAGTGTAAATATAGTCCCAATGTCTCTGTGCTGTGGCCGTCATTTCCCCATTACTGCTATCAGTGTTTTCGCATTTTACGGGAGGAATATATTTGCGATAAAAGTGTAATATTGTTAACAAAAGCGACGAAATTAGGAGTAAAACACCATTTATAACAAACGGTATTTCGAGTCGAGATATGTTAACAGTGTTTGCATTTAAAAGATTATTTGAAACGTAATTAGTATTAATATTAGTGAGAAAAGGGGCTGAGATTAGGGGCGCTATACATAAGCCAATCGAAAAGAATAGAGAATATCCCCCGATATAAAGACCCGCTTTTTCTGTCCATATCTCCACAATCCACGCGACGACTGCTGTGTCTAAACCTAACAATACATTAATTTAATATTACAATCAAATGCATGACAAACCTCCGCATCCATAGCCACAAAGTGCAGCCACTGTTAATATTGTGCGACGATTGGGACAAATGGGTATCACAGCTATGGTTACGGCCATCAGAATCAGAAGGAATGCCAAAACCACTTGTCGGTTAATGTAATCGTAAATATAGCCATCTTATTAAAAATACAATTTAAAAATTTAGTATAATTTTAAGAGTAACTCAATATTTGACTTTTTATAGTTATATTATTATCAATTAAAAATATTAAACTGTCTAAAACTAAGTTTATGAAAGACTAGTTTTTTAAACTTTTAAAACTTTAAAACTAATTTTAAAATAAATAAATGTATTGATATTAGTAAAAACAATACAAACTTATTAGCGCTCCGATAGTATAACCAATAAATAAACAGAAGAATATAAAAGTTAAATCAGATGTCGATGTGTTTAATAAGACTTGTAAATCACTTAATGCGGGACCAATTATGCTGACAATAAGTGCCTTTGAATAATAGGTCATTTAATTAGACAAAATCAATTAGAATTCAAAATAAATTGAACAAAAATTTACATAAGAAAGTGTACAGAAAAACAGAGTCCATGTAATCAATTGTTTGTATTTATTGTCCAAAACATCACTCATTGGACTTTCAATTGTAAAACTACTTCTAATTTCTTCCGTCATTACTATTACTAATTATTCTGAATTTCTGTAATCACATAAACAATTACATGCATTACAACAATTGTGTGGTTACTTTCTATTCAAGTATACTAATTAAGTCTTAATGACAAATTGAATACAATTATATATTCAAATGGGATGTTTGAATGACTTGTCTCTTAAGTTTTCTTAATGATTTGATAAAAAATGCTAACTCAATTTCAATGTAGCTAATATAAAAGCTTTACATTAGCTATTGTACTTTACACGTGTTATTCATATAATATGATTATCACAATATTTGTTAATTTAACGTTTTCAATGAGATTTACAGTAGACATAGAACTTTTTCCAATGTCTATTTCTCTGCCCCGTTCCCTTTTATTTTCTCCCAGAAGCTAAATATCGTCAATTGAAATATCGAGTTTTATCCATAAAAACTAAAAAAATTGATTTTTCAATTTACGATATTTAGCTTTTGGACATTTTTGAAATTTTTTAGCTAATATTATTAGCATTTAGTGTATTCTTAATAAATGTAGTTAATTATATTTAAATATAATATTTGTTTTCAGCCCTAAATAGTAACATGCAAAAGTTGCCAAAGTTTGTTACCGTGTGTGAAATCCTGCAATCTGATTAAGGTTGTTCTAAAATATTATTAATCATTGCCATCTCCTCTACCGAATACCATGGCCGCCCCCCCGACCCCTCCATCAACTCGGCTGCAATCGTGTGACCAATCTATTTGTTCCAACATTTTCTGAGTTGTGATTTTGATAATTTTTTGATACAAAACATGTCGACATTGTTTTATAGTTTACAGATATGATCTAGCTCATTTCGTTTAGAAGATATAGCCGATACCAAATGGTCAATACATTTTGAACGGTTAAATAACATAAATTATTAATTTAAACAAAGACTACATTTTTATAATTAATTTTTAATATTCATTGTGTTGTTTCAAATAAAAAATAGTTATTTCCTAATGTAAACAATGACATCAAACAAAGCAAATATAATTAAAGTAAAGAATAGCAAAATAAAATTCATATAAATGAGAGCCAATGGCTGTCCGGCAATGAATTGTCCGCAAACGACGGGAAAGACGGCAATCATTATTCCGGTCGCACTAATGAAGATAGAGGTCGTCGTGTTGTCGAGCGTCAGATTGGACTCAAAGAACGTATAAATAGACGGATAAGTCGTCGAGAATCCGATTCCCATAATCACTATTCCGGCCATTAATAGTCTTTCGGAGTATTCGTAGTATTGATATACAAATAGCAGTATATTTGAGACAATGACGAGAATTAAATTAACGTAAATATAGTTCTTAGTCCAAAATTTTATGGCAACAACAAAGTTAATCAAACAAAATATGGCGAAAACACCGTTCAATAGGCCTAACATTAGGGAACTTTTAGACGCAGACATCGGTTGATACGAATCGGACAAAAATGTTGGGATGAGTTGGAAGTTCATAATTTCCAACCCGACAAAGGGTCCGATTACAAAGATTCCGAGTGTTAGGTAAATACAATCCCATTTCTTTGATTGAGTAAAACTGATTTCCTTCTCGACTTTTATGGGAGGAATATATTTGCGGTAAAAGTGTAATATTATTAACAGAAGCGACGATATTAGAAGAAAAACAGCGTTTATAATAAAAGGCACTTCGAGTCGCTTTATGTTAACAATTGTTGGATTTATAATAGTTGTTGAATTAATTGACACATAATTGGTATTAATATTAGTGAGAAAAGGGGCTGAGATTAGTGGCGCTATACAGTTGCCAATAGCGAAGAACAATTGAGCGCCTCCTAAATAAAGGCTTGATTTTTGATTCCAAAGCTCTACAATCCATACAATGATTGCGATTTCAAAACCTAATAAAAATAGTAATACTGTATATTAAAAATAATAATTTATTAATGCTTTCAAATCTATACAAACCTCCGCTCGAGAAGCCGCAGATCCCAAGCACTGTAAACAATACGCGAAGGTTTGGACAAATGGGTATCACAGCGACGGTTACGGCCATCACGAATAGATGAAACGCCAAAACCAATTGTCGGTTAATGTAATTGAAAACATAACCGCCTTTTATGTTAAATATAAAATATTTTAACTTATTATTATATTTTTGATTATATTTCTCTACACACTGTGGCTGTAAATCACTGTAAATGATTACAGCATAACCAACAAGTCTGATAAAAAAATAAGATATTTTGCTGCTCACATCGTTAGAAATTTTTATGTATTAATATTATTAATTTAAATTGAATAATTTATACATCTGCATTATATATATTTAAACAACAATCATAAATACTATAAAGTAAAACAAGTATAAAACAATACAAACTAATGATTGCTCCGATAATATATCCGATGTAAAAATATAAGAAAATAAACGATAGCGAAGATGTGGTCGTATTTAATAAAATTTGTAAATCGCTTAACGCTGGAGCTGTTATACTAACAATAAGTCCCTGGGTAAATTAATATTAATTTATTGAATCATATTAAATCATCAAAACTTACATAAGACACGTTACAGAAATACAGAGTCCATGTAATTAACTGTTTGTATTTATTGTCCAATATATGAATATCACTGTTTGCACTCTCAATAGTATAACGATTTCTAATGCCTTCAGACATTAGAAATAATAATGATTTTACTTTAATTACATAAAGAAATAAACGAATTCAAAAAATTCATTGTGTTTAAGAAATTCATTTAATATTTAACATTTATTAAACAAATTAATTATTAGTAGCATGATATGCACTAAAAATATCATGCAACAAGTTATAAATAATTATTCAAAATCTTTTATTTTCATGATATTTATATATTTAAATACATATTTCTTGATAGATTAATACAGGGTTTCTAACGATGTTTAATTTGCCAAATATTTACTATATTATTTAGTAGAAGTGTTTTTCTAATATAATGCAATTAATTCTTATTTTTAGCTATAAATGCTAATAGAATAAAATTTTAAGACAACATTGTTGAAATACTAATTTTGAATACAGTGCAAAGACTGCAATGATACTTAAACATTATTTAAGTTGTTTGTCTGCTTTTTAGATTTATATATTTAGATCTATGTATGTTTAAAAAGTCTTTTTTATTCATGATTTTATTACAAAATATAATTAGTGATTTTTATTTATTTAATTTGATTCTATTATTGCATTTTATAATCGTTTCCTCATGTATATAATGAAATTAAATAATGTGAAAATAAACAAAACAAAAATGGTTATGATTAAATTCATATATATGAGAGCCAATGGCTGAGCGACAATGAATTGGCCGCAAACTGTAGGGAAAACGGCGGACATAATGCCTATGAAAGTAATGAAAATAGCAGTCGTTGTGTTGTTTACGTTGAGTTGAGATTCAAAGAATGCAAACATAAAGGGATAGTCTGACGAAAAGCCGATTCCCATTAATATGATTCCCGCACTCAATAGTCGATGCGAGTACTCGTAATATTCATATAAAAATAGTAGTATATTTGATACAATTATAATACTTAAATTGATGTAAATACAGTTTTTAGACCAATATTTGATGGCCAGTAAAGTATAGAGTAAACGAAATATTGCGAAAACGCCGGTTAATAGGGCTAATACAAGGGAACTGTCGGACGCAGACATGGGTTGATAGGAATTGGACATAAATGTTGGGATGAGTTGGAAATTCATTAACTCCATACCGACGTACGGACCGATCAGTAATATTCCGAGTGTTAGGTATATATAATCCCATTTCTTCGGTTCAGTGAAACTGATTTCCTTTTTGACTTTTATGGGAGGAATATATTTGCGATAAAAGTGTAATATTATAAATAGAAACGACGATATCAAGAGAATACCACCGCATATAATAAAAGGCACTTCGAGTCGCTTTATGTTAACAATTGTTGGATTTATAATAGTTGTTGAATTAATTGACACGTAATTGGTATTGATATTAGTGAGAAAAGGGGCTGAGATTAGTGGCGCTATACAACAACCCAACGCGAATAAAGTTTGAGCGCCGCCTAAATATATACTAGATTTGTCAGCCCATAGCTCGATGATCCAGGCAACATTTGCTGTTTCAAAACCTAATCAAATAATCGTTAATAACTATTAATAAACAATTCAAATGTATGCAAACCTCCGCATCCATAACCGCAAAGACCAATGATTGTGAACAATACCCGAAGGTTTGGACAAATGGGTATCACAGCGACGGTTACGGCCACCAAAAGGACACAAAATGCCAAAACCAATTGACGGTTAATGTAATTGTAAGCGTAGCCGTCTTTAAATGCACACAACAAATAGAAACGATATTATATAAATAAATTACCATCATTAGTTTTAGTTATGCTCTCAATTTATGAAGTAAAATATATAAGTAACAATAAAAATGATAATAAATGACAACATATTATATAAAACAATACAAACTAATTAGTGCTCCAAAAGTATATGCGATGTAAAAGCAAAAGAAAATAAATGATAAATCAGATGTTGAGGTATTTAATAAGATTTGCAAATCGCTCAACGCTGTACCAGTTATGCCTGCAATAAGTCCCTAGATAGTTTAAATTGTGATTAATGAGATAAAATAAAATACCTATAACTCACATAACCAATGTTAGTAAAAAACAGAGTCCATGTAATTAACTGTTTGTATTTGTTGTCCAATTTATTTACATCACTGGTTGGAACTCCAGTTCCAAAACTCCAATTATGTCTTATATCAGACATTATTAGAGTTGTATTCCTTTTATATGAATTATATTAATTAGAAAATTGAATTTCAAAAATGTATTGTAATATTTACTTAATACATGTAAAGTTAATACACTTAATGCATTTACTTGTACTTGTACTTTATATTATAGTAATTAATTCATTAAATGATTTGCAATAATATTTTGATATGAGATACACTATAAACTGTTTCTAAATTTATCACTTAAAAAATCATTATAAGATCGTTGGTATTTGTTATATATATTTAAAATTTTTAATTAAAATTTAGCATAATATTTGTTTTAATAATTAAAATATTATTACTTTATATATATATATTAGTAATCTATAAAATACAGGTCTTTATGTAATGATGTGTCAAAATAAATCTTTAACTTTTTAAAGTGAATGCCCTCTTTTTCAGTCAAAGGGAATCCCTTTTTCAAGTCTAGTGACAAATTAGAAACATTTGCCATTTGGTTGCGTAATATTGGAAAAGTTAAAATTGGAGATTTGTCTCTTATAAACTAAACAATAAACATGAGAATCCCCGCACTCTTATAACTTATAACCTTTACTAATATTATTTGCATTTTAAAATAATTTTGTACAAAATGTGGTATAAGATTGAAACGATGTTATTGAGCGACACAATCATAAAATGTGTTTCTTTTTATCTGTTGTGGTCGGAAACAATTGTGCAAATTGGGAGAACTGGCACCTTCATGCAATTTTTAATTTTATATTAAATATAATGTAATAAATTTTGATGACTTAAAATTGTTATAAAATTAACTAACTCTAATAATATTTAAAATTATAAAAATAAAATATAAGTTTGTGATGTAAATGTGACTAGACCTATTTCATCTTTATATAAATTACATGATTACTGAGTAATACAAAGTTTGTATACAAATAATTATAGCTTTTAATTGTTTTCAATTTTTATCTGCATTTATAAATATAAGAGTATATCCGTAATACGTGTACAAAAATTAATATAATTTATTTTTAAATATTATACAACATTTTCCAACATACTATTCAATTTAAGTAAGTAAATATATTTTAGCTGATATTTTAATTCTTTTTAATGTAAGAAAATACATCAAATAAAGTAAAAACAAGTAAAATAAAGAATGTAATAATAAAATTGATATAAATGAGAGCCAATGGTTGTCCGGCAATGAATTGTCTGCAAACGATGTACAAAACGGCCGAAAAAATACCGGTAGAGCTTATGAGAAGGGCTGATGTTTTGTTTGTTATTTTAGCATTGAATACAAAGAAGACAATTAGAGTCGGGAATCCCGATGAAAATCCTATTCCCATAATTATTATTGCGGCCGTTATTAACATCTCTGAGTACTCGTAATATTGAAACACAAATAGCAGTATATTTGAGATACAGATGAGAATTAAATTGACATAAATGTAGTTTTTAGTCCAATATTTGATGGCAGCGATAGAGTAGATGAAACGAAATGATGCAAAAACGCCGGTCAATAGGGCTAACATACGAGAACTCTCGGACCCAGATATTTGTTGATAGGATTCTGTCAAAAATGTTGGAATCAGTAGAAAGTTGATGAGTTGGAGGCCATAGTAGGCGCCAATGCTTAACATTCCGAGTGTATTGTATAAGTAATACAATTTATTAGATTCTGTAAAACTGTTTTCCTTCACCGCTTTTATGAGAGGAATATATTTGCGATAAAAATGTAATATTATTAACAAAACTGCAATTATTAGAAGTAAAATAGCGTTTATAACAAACGGCACTTCGAGTCGATTTACACAAATAATATCTGAATTTATAATATTTGTTGAATTAATAGACACATAATTGGTGTTATTGTTTATCAAAAAAGGGTTTGAAATTATAGGACCAACACAAAGTCCTAACCCATAGAAAAATTGTGCTACACCAACATACACACGCGCCTTTTGTGCCCAAAGTTCAACTAACCATGATAATACTGCTACGTCCAAACCTGTAAATACTGTATAATATTCACATTAATTTTCATATGAAAATAATGTTGAGGAATTATCTAAATATCTTTATATAATTTTATTACACATATTTAATGTGATAAATATGCATAACTATTAAATGCAAATATTGCAAACCTCCGCATCCATAACCACAGAGACCAACGATTGTCAATATAACAGAAAAGTTTGGACAAATAGGTAACACAGCAAATGTTACTGCTATTAAAAATACGAGAAATGACAAAACTAATTGACGGTTAATGTAATTGTAAATAAATCCACCTTAAAATAGAGAATAAATTCAAATTAAATAATTTCCAAACAATTTTTTGGCTTATTGAGTGGTTTTATTTTACATTTACTATTTTATATTAATGACATCAACACGGAAGCTCTTGGACATGTTTTCAGTAGACTATTTGTTGTACAATCATTGTATCTGATATCTGAATACTACTAGTCAATTGCCGTACATAAATCATACGACTGATTTGCACCTATTTTTACACCTGAGAGCATTCGTGGATATCAGTAATTATAATATAAAACAATACAAACTATTTAGTGATCCGATAGCGAGTCCAATGAAAAAGCACACAAATATTAATGAGATATTAAATGTGGTTGTGTTTAACAAAATTTGCAAATTGTCCATTGATGCGGCCATTATGCTTATAACTAGTCCCTGGTAATTTTAAAAAGTTTGATTATTAACTGTAAAGTCACTTAATAATACTATTAAGGAAAATTAAAACTTACATAAGAAAAATTGCCTAAAAACAGGATCCATGAAATAAACTGTTTATATTTTGAACCCAAAATATTTATATCATTGATTTTATTATTACTTTCAAATGTAAAACTATTTTTAATTTCTTCCGACATTAGTATTAATAGTTTTAACGAACTTTTGTAATAAATTATTAAATTAAATATACGAATCGTAAAGTAACTGGATTTTTAACTGTTTCAAACACAATAGTGGAAATGTATGAATTGTAAAATTTTAATATTGTGAGAATTATTCTATAGGAATTAGCAATGTAATTTTTAAACTTCAAACTATTATTAACGTTAAAAGTTTATAATTAAGTTACATCCTAATATTATCATTGTTTAAATTCTGGCCATTTCTAGACTCGTCAGCAATATTATAGTATAACAGTAGTTTAGGACGATCGGCGGTGATTTGCATAAATATTGGCAAATGTGTGATTAGTACAGTATAGGGCCGCTCAAAACATGTGCATAATTGCGTCAAACAAATCATTGCGTTGAATACTATAATATATATTTTTAAAAAACATTACAAAAATATGGAAATTTTTTTTATTTTGATGAAAATTTATTCGTGAACAAACAATTAATAAAAAAGAATAAATATACAAAAATTATTTATGCAACTTAAAACATTTTGTGCCAGGAACAAGTCCTGTCATTGAATTACTTATATTAAGGTTAGACTCAAGAAATGTTAATACAGTATAGACTCTATACTATAGAGAGATATGTTGGTCATAATCCCATTGCCATAATAACTAAGTTATTCCTCCAATCAATAGTCCATCAGAATATTGGTAATATTGATACAAAATATAATTATATTTTATAGTAATGTGAGAAACAAATGTGTTTCAAAACAAACAGAGAAATAACTAATAATAAATAACTACAATGTAAATAAGAAAAATGTTATTAAATATAAAAAATTAGGCAATTAAAATATGTTGTTATAATATAGTTAATAATTTTTATTATAAAAATAATAATTATGAATAATAATAGTTAGAAAAATATTATGTAATAAACATGCTAAACAAGTTAAATGCAATTTCTAATGTAAATATTAGTTTATAACAAAGAGATATCTACTAATCATGATTTTATATAATTTTTTAAATGTAATTTTTGAACTTATATTCCACAACACCTTTTCAAATAAAGACTATACATTGCATTTCACATTGCATAATAAACTTTACATTTTAGAATATATAATTTCCAAATCACTTTCTCAAGTAAATAATTACATTAAATAAAGTAAAAACAAATAAAACAAAAATTGTTAAAATAAAATTCATATAAATGAGAGCCAATGGTTGGTCGACAATGAATTGTCCGCAAACTGTAGGATATATGGCGACTGCTATTCCCGCGGATGCAATCAAAAGGGCTGTCTTTGTATTACTTAAATACATATTATTTTCAAAGAATGAATAGACAGAGGGATAGACTGTTGAGAAACCGATTCCCATAATTATTATTCCTGCCATTAATAACTTCTCAGAGGACTCGTAATATTGATATACAAATAGCAGAATATTTGAGATAAATATTAGGATTAAATTAATGTAAATATAATTTTTAGTCCAATATTTGATGGCAACTATAAAATTGATTAAACGAAATATTGCAAAAACACCGGTCAATAGGCCTAACATAAGGGAACTTTTAGATGCAGACATCGGTTGATAGGACTCGGATAGAAATGTAGGGATGAGTTGGAAGTTCATGAGCTCCAGACCGACGTACGGACCGATTATTAATATTCCAAGAATAGTATAAATATAATCCCATTTTTTGGATGCCTTGAAACTAATTTCTTTCTCTGTTTTAATGGGAGGAATATATTTGCAGTAAAAGTATACTATTATTAACAGAAGTGACGAAATTAAAAGTAAAACACCGTTTATAATAAAAGGCACTTCGAGTCGCTTTATGTTAACAATTGTTGGATTTATAATATTTGTTGAATTATTAACATAAGTTGCGTCAAGATTTGTGAGAAAAGGGGCTGAGATTAGGGGCGCTATACAGACGCCCACAGCAAAGAAGAATTGATAGCCTCCTAAATAAAGGCTTGATTTCTGGCCCCATATTTCCACTAACCAGACGACAAGCGCTGTGTCTAATCCTAAATATACGATAATTTACTATTTTGCTAGATTCCAATAAAAATCTATGCAAACCTCCGCATCCATAGCCACAAAGACCAGCGATTGTGAACAATACGCGAAGGTTTGGACAAATGGGTATCACAGCGACGGTTACGGCCATCAGAAGCATAAGAAATGCCAAAACCAATTGTCGGTTAATGTAATTGAAAACAACCCCATCTTAAAATAAAAATATATAAAATTTAATTAAAATCTAAACTTAATTATTATTTGATTATTAGATCATCAAAACTAATATAATAAAAAACACAAACAATAATCTATAAATTATGGCTCAAAATTGAGTACATTTGACAAACTTGTTTGCCAAACATATAAGAACCTAAAAGGTATACAACATTAAATAAAATAATACATAAAAATTCAGTAAATATAAAACAATACAAACTAATTAGCGCTCCAAACGTATATCCGATATAAAAACACAAGAATATAAATGATAAATCAGATGTTGTTGTTTTCAATAAAACTTGTAAATCGCTCAATGCTGGACCAAGTATACTAATTATAAGACCCTAGGCAATTTATTTTATTCAAATTAAGCAATAAATTAATTAAGAAATAAAAACTTACATAAGAAAAGGTACAGAAAAATAAAATCCATGTATATAATTGTTTGTATTTGTTGTCCAATATATCCAATATATCACAGATTGGACTTTCCATTGGAAAGCGATTCTTTAACTCTTCCGACATTAATGTTGAAAATTATTTTTAGTCAACTTTTACGCGTAATAACTAAGTGTTGAATGTTGTTATTGTCACAAATGAATTAATGTTTTATATACAGTAATTGGCTTTAAATCTATTTATAGTGATTTGCAATAAAACACTACTATATTAGGAAACAGATGCCCTCATATATCTTATTTAAAATTTTTCAAAAACAACACTTATTTCAAGAAATATTCATAATATTCACAAACATTCATAATAAGTTATGAATAATAATTTAGTAAAGATAATCTTTTTATTTAATAAAATGATTAATAAATACATTAATTATGATCAGAATTCAATGTTGTTTTAACAATGATTTAACAAAAATACTAATATTTTTTATAATTTTTATAAATGTACAGGGCCTGTTTTCTATTTAACATGTAAAAGCATTTAATTTCTAATAAAAACGAACAATCTTTTATATCTATTTAGTATCTACAAAATTTTGGTTTAAATTGTCCTGGTATTTTTGGAAAAAGCAATGCTCATTCTCTAGTATTATAAATAACAGTAATACTCCATGGGTTAAATTGGGTACGGGCTCTGTATCTTAATAACATTTATAGCGAGCATTTATTGAGAAAATACTATAAAAAGTTTTGAGTAAATAAGAGTTTATTTCTTTTCATTTTTAAAACAAATAATTACATCAAAAATGAAAAATAAAATGGCATTAATAACAACCAAAACAACACTCATGTAAACTAGAAATAAAGGATTTTGTTTGATATACTGTCCACATATGGCCGGAAAGAGAGCACCCATTATATAATTACATCAAAAATGAAAAATAAAATGGCATTAATAACAACCAAAACAACACTCATGTAAACTAGAAATAAAGGATTTTGTTTGATATACTGTCCACATATGGCCGGAAAGAGAGCACCCATTATACCGCCGGCACTCACACAAAACCCTCCGATTGTATTACTTAATGACAAATGTGTGCCGAGATATGCAAAGATTGATGGATAGGCCGTTGAGAAACCAATACCAACGATAATAACGCCAATAATTAATACCATTTCTGAACAATTATTTGTCTCAAACAGATATAAAACAAAATTTCCAATTAATATTAAAAGGAAATTACAGTAAATTGAGTTTTTGGACCACCATTTGATGGAAACAATGAAATTGAGACCACGAACTGAAGTGAATATTATAGTCATTATAGCAAATATAAATGCACTCTTGGATGGGGACAGTTGTAGACACGAGTTCTCCATAAAAGTGGGCAATAATTCAAAGACCATGAATTCAAAGCCGAAGAATATTCCGCTTATAAGTACTCCGAGAGTAATACAAATAAGATCCCACTTTTCAGGACATTTAAACCTCTGTTTGTGATCCGTTTCTACGACCCGAATATACGGGCGATAAAAGTGCATAATTAATAAAGCAATGGATGCGATCATCAATAATACACCGTTGATTACAAACGGTATTTCAACATAAAAGTCAGAAAATGTATTCGTATTTGTGATGTTTTCAGTGATGTTTTCAGTAATGGCTTCAATGGTGTGATTATGTGTGATGTCTATAATGTTGTTGGAGAGAAAGTATGCGGACATTAGGGGTGCGGCACATAATCCGAGTCCGTAGAAAAACTCGGCGCCTCCTAAATAAAGGTGGGATTCAAATGTCCAGATTTCCACAATCCATACAATAAGTCCAGTGTCCAGACCTTATGGTATATAAATTAATTGTGAGTTATTAATAAGTTTCTAATCTACTGTATATGAAATGTAATGATAATAAGGATAGCAAACCTCCTGAACAATAGCCACAAATAGTGGCTGCAATGAACAGATATATTAAGTTTGTAGAAAATGGCAATAAAGTGATCGCACATCCCATCAGTATTAGTAGACAGAAGAGGGTTAGCTGTCTATTAAAACGATTGAATTTGATTCCGTCTGTTTTAGGAATTCGTAACAATTATTTACTATTGACAATATAATAATATAAATTCTATCAAATGATATGTAAATGATACTGACTTAAAATTGGTCCAATAGTATATCCGATACCAAAATAGGTGAAAACAAGTGATATTTCATTGATCTCAACGTTCAATTTAAACGCCAAATTGCTTAACGCCGGACCGATTATACTCAATACAATTCCCTATGTTTTAATATATATAATGATTATGATTTTATAAAATATAATTAAATTACAACAATATTAGTCAATGATAATACAATCAATGTAACAATACAATCAAGACTTACATCAGCCAATGAGCACAAAAACAGTGTCCATGTAATCAATTGTTTATATTTGGGATCCAATTCATGAAATGAATATATACTTGCTACTCTTTCCTTCATTTTACAATCATATGAATAGCCGTCGAAATTGAAAATATATTTATAATTCCTTTGTAATAATTATTACTTAAAAATATAATTGACAATAGCAATTTAAATGCACTTTTAATTTGGAAAATTAATCTATATTTATTAACAATTGTACAATGTAATTATTATAAACTTGAGAGTAATAATGCGCGTTTTAATACCAAAACTAAAGTATATCTATAGATAAAATATGGAAAACTATTTTATTATAATATTGATACGATGACTTTTAATAATTTTTTATTTTATTTATTAAATAGTAAATGTTAGGCAATGAATTCAATGGTATTACTGAATAAATTGCACTATTAGTGAACATTTTAATAAATTAATTTAATTGCATGAGATTAACAGCAAATCAATAGTTTTAATGTTAAGTCATTTAATTTGATATTTTTCTAATAAGAATTTCTCTTATATTGGAAGACATATACAGTTAGGAAAGATATAATCCAGTATTTTTTGGTTTTTTGTATCGATCGTATAATATATACTGATGTAATTAATATTCAAAATTGTTATATTTGCAGAATAATTATTAATAATAGTACATTTTATGTTAATTCTTTGTTAACGTATTTATTAAGTGCTTTGTATTATATTATCTGAACCTAAGTTACAAATTGTGTTTAATTCAAAAATATAACAATTGATTTGAAAAATAAAGTTTTCTCACTATTATTTATGAAATTCAATTTATGTTAAAAATTATAATAAAAATAATAATAAGATAAGGATATTAAATATTAAAATATAAATTAATAATAAAAATAGACATTTATAAATCTATTCAATCATTAACATTGAAATAAATACTAAAATAAATAACTTTTCATGTCTGAAGATGTCATGTATTAAGAAAATATTGTACCATAATGTTTACAATAAAATGTATTGATACTATTTGTTTGCATTTTTGTGAATAATAATATTGAAAATTGTGAACAAAATTAAAACAATTACCGTCAAAATAATTGTCATGTATAGCAGAAATGTTGGCTGAATATCAATAAACTGCCCGCAAAGTGCCGGAAATATAGCACCCGTTATACCGGCGCTGCAAACGCATAGACCGCCGATAGTATTGCTTAATGAAAGCTGAGAATCAAGAAATGAATAAATCGATGGATAAGTAGTGGACAAACCAATACCTAAAATCATAACTCCTATCACTAGTACTGTTTCCGAGTGCTTATTGGTCTCAAAGAGGACTAAAATACCGTTTCCCACTATTATCAGAATCAAATTTAAGTAAATACTGTTTTTAGACCAGAATTTGATGGAAATCAAGACATTTAGTCCGCGAGCGGCCGTAAATGTGGCCGTCATTATAGCGTATATGAGGGCTGACTTATAGGCGGACAGCTGTAGGTATGAGTTCTCGATAAATGTGGGCAACATTTCAAACACCATGAATTCAAAGCCATAGAATATGCCAATTATAAACACACCAAAAGTGGTGTAAATGAGTTCCCATTTCTTGGGCCGTTTGAATGTAATCTTTTTGGTTTGCTTTACGGGAGGTATATATCGGCGGTAAAAGTGAAGAATCAATAGTATAATCGCCGACACGACTAAAAACAATCCGTTTATAGCAAATGGAATTTCTATTAGCGAATCGTTATATGTGTTTATGTTTGTATTGTTTTCTGTTTGACTATCATTTGTGTTAAGATCTGTTGAGTTGTAAGTGATATTGAGATGAATGTCATCTAATGAAAAGTCTGGCAAATATGGCCTCAAAATGATGGGTGCAATACATAGGCCGACACCGAAGAAAAACTCAACGCCTCCTAAATATAAATGAGATTTTTGTTCCCACACTTCAACAATCCATACGACGAGTGCTGTGTCTAAACCTAAAGAAAACAAAAGTTATGTAAAAGTTTAGAAATATACATAACATGTTATGTATTATATAATGTATATGTATAACAAACCTCCTGAGCCATAGCCACAGAGCGCTCCAACAATATTAAATACAATCAGATTGGGACAAATGGGTACCACAGCTATTGTACAGCCCATTAACATTAACAGGAATGTCAATATTAATTGCCGGTTATAGATATTAAATAGCATTCCGTCTAATTATTTAACAAAGAATACAATAAATAGCATTAATTTTATATAAATTCAAAACTTATATTGTAATCACTTACTGAGAAGAGCTCCAACAGTATAGCCAATGGAAAAACTCGAGAATATAAATGTACTAAAATTTATGGTAATTTTATTATTAATTTTTCAAATTATATTTAGGATATTAATATACTGTACATTTGGCTTGTGGTGGCGTTCAGCCGATGTGTTAGATCGCTTACTGAGGGGCCTATTATACTCAATACCATTCCCTTTGTAATTGTTATTAAATTAAAAATTTAAATACAAATTACATGTCAATAATTATATAAATTAATTTAACTTACATAAGAAAATGTACAAAAGAAAAGAGTCCATGTTATCAACTGTTTGTAAGTTTTGCTAAATTCTTGCACAACATATACTTGGCTTTCAATGGTTTCCTTCATTTCCAACACAACTATAATTTGTTATTTAACTATCAATTCGTAAACTATTAAGTAATAAAAGGTTTATATTAAATTTATATCTATTTATGTAATAATAATATAGTAAATGGCATATAAGGTGTTTATATTACATGATTTTTGTCGACCGATCGATACCAAAACAAATATCGTCTTTTATGAGCGTCTGAATGAGTAGTCTAATAGTTTTACGATAATATTCTGTATTAAATATTATATGTTATTCCCAAATATGAGCAAACAATTTGTTTTATTATATTATATCAATAGCCCTAATTACATAAATATATTACTATATAGTGAAGTATATATGGTATATAAAGTAACGCAAACCTATTGAGAATAAAGGATTGAAATTCAATCGCCGGTTCAATGCCAACACTCAGACCAACTATTTATAAATATTGATATCAATCTCAGAGTTAAGAGCCGTTAAATAGAAAGCTATATTTTGCTAAATTCTTGCACAACATATACTTGGCTTTCAATGGTTTCCTTCATTTCCAACACAACTATAATTTGTTATTTAACTATCAATTCGTAAACTATTAAGTAATAAAAGGTTTATATTAAATTAATATCTATTTATGTAATAATAATATAGTAAATGGCATATAAGGTGTTTATATTACATGATTTTTGTCGACCGATCGATACCAAAACAAATATCGTCTTTTATGAGCGTCTGAATGAGTCGTCTAATAGTTTTACAATAATATTCTGTATTAAATATTATATGTTATTCCCAAATATGAGCAAACAATTTGTTTTATTAGATTATATCAATAGCCCTAATTACATAAATATATTACTATATAGTAAAGTATATATGCTATATAGAGTAACGCAAACCTATTGAGAATAAAGGATTGAAATTCAATCGCCGGTTCAATGCCAACACTCAGACCAACTATTTATAAATATTGATATCAATCTCAGAGTTAAGAGCCGTTAAATAGAAAGCTATTGACTTCATTACCATAATATCGCTTAATATATTCTGCAATTTAAATGTTTTAAAAATTTAATGTTATGTCATTCACGATAAGTATCGCATAAATTAAAAGCATATTCATAGCATGAGATCAGTCTAGAAGGGGAACTGATGTTCATCTATGATACACATGTTGTACGGAATGGCACTAAATATATTAATATTTATAAAATTGATGTGGGTTTAAAATATGGGTTGACAGTTTGCTTATTATTCAATGTCATTTGACTTACCCTAGGTAAGAGCATGAGCATGGTCATTATTCATGATATTTTATCTCATTCGGAAGAAACGATGATTTGCACATTTATATTACATAAAATTGCCCAAAACATAATGATTTACTATCAACTTTGACATTTAAATAAAACATATTTTTTATTACTTAATATAATAATTGCATTGTTTAATTACCATTTAAAGAATGAGAAAAATATATATAATTATATAGAGAATATAAATATATTTAACACTAATCTATTAGTTTTAACGATAATAAAATTAATATCTTCAACAATTGGAATGATTTTATATAATTTACACAAAATATACTATGCAAAATAATAATTATAAGTTATTTTGTACAAAATAAAAATGAAATAAAATACTACATTGTATTGATATGAATATTACATATCATATACAATAATTGTTGACATTGAATGCAAAAGCCGTATATTAGGGCACCATTACGTCTATCAGTGGTGTCTGTCAACCAAACCGCGTGCGCACAGAATCTCAAGAATCATATGCTCTCTATTCATAAATACATACATATTCCATGACTCTCTCTCTCTCTCTCTCTCTCTCTCTCTCTCTCCTGTTTAAAATATTGAACATGTATTTACAAGAATGAGCTCATAATTTGATTTTAATCTAAACTTTTTAAAAAATTACCACGGTACAATTTTTACAAATAATTGTTTTCAAATAATTTTTCCAAGTATTTGTATTATTGCCAGTACAAATTAATTTTAATTTGTAAATTTATTCTAGCACTAATTATGAATTCATTTCAGATGATGAATTTTATCATAACTAATTATTGACATTTTTATTGATCTAATTTATTTTAAATGTATAAATATAATTAGGATTATGACATCAACGCAACGAAATATTTAATACAACATTGTAACAGCAGCTTTGTAACAAAAAATATCTCACTTAAAGTCTATAAATATTTTAAAACTTGATAGATGAATATGCATTTTCAGAGTTTGTGATAGAGTACTTTCATTAACTTTCACTAACTTTATTATTAATGAGATTGCTTTTATTATAATCTATTCCTTATTACTAATTCACTGATAAAATCACATGTTTTGTAAATATTATTTTTAATTAATTAATTTTTATAAAATATAATTATCATAATTTATGGTCCATAAATATCACGACATAAAGAATTCAACATTACTTTATATAATATTTGACTTATACTACAGGTAACTACAGGCTGTTCTTAGATATATGCCAGAAGCCAGGACTGAACCCCTCATATTTTACATTGACTAACATTGAAAATAAGTTATCTGCCATACATTTCAGGACAGTCTGTATATACAGTATATCCAATAAATGGAAAATTATAACAATTAATATAAAAATTAAATATGTTTATAAAACTTTATTATATTTATTTCAATTATACACAAATTCTTGTAATTATAATTAATTCCTATAATATCACAGATTTTATTTATTAAAATAAAGTAAAAACATTATAAGTAAAAATAAGTTTAATTCGGTTTTCATTAATAATTTAAAATATCATTTAATTAAAACTAGTCTTAAATGTATTTAGACTTGTATTTAAAGACCGATCGTTGGTCTCTATTAAACTACTTGTGACTTAGATTTAGTATAAATAATCACTTTAAATGTGGTGAAAGAAATGGCAATAATAGTGGTACACATTAAGTTCATATACATCAAAGTCAACGGATTGTGTTCAATAAATTGTCCGCAAACTGTGGGCAGAAGTCCGCCCATTAGACCACAGGTGCACACGAGTAGACCCCCGACGGCGTTAC